CACCGCGCAAGTCGACGATTGTCCAAGCCGACCCTGCAGAGCAGGATGCCCAAGAGGCGCCATTGGGTGCTGGTGCCGAGGAGATGGCGCCTGCTCGGGACTTGCAGCATCGTGCCCGCAAATTACTCCTGAAGGCGCTGACAGCCTGGAGATCGCACGGCTTTGATTGCGATGCTATTCGCCACATTCTTGAGCACGTGCAGAGGCAAATCCGCGACTTCGAGCAGAGGGCAGGGCAGCTGCACCTGGCAGCCTCGGCCAAAGTCTGGCTGGCCATCCAGAAGGCATTGACCAGCTTATTGCAGCCTCGCCAGACTGAGGAAGGGGAGGTTGCAATCCAGCGCCTTAGGCAGGCGCCATCTGCCAAATCTCTTCTGTTCGGCAAAAGCACCAAGAAGGCAGCATTGGCAGAAGCCATGGCAGCCTTGGGTGGAAGAGCTACTCAAAAACAGCTGGAGGAGTATTTGCGGAACACGCCCCATGCTCTAGGAGATGCGGATGCTGAGACCATCGAGCGCAGCATACAGTGCTTCCGTGCTTCTGAATATTTTGAGCTGTTGGGCAAAGATGCGAATGGGCGGAACGTCTACGGTCCAGCCAAACCTTGCCCCACAGGCATCCGACGAAAGAAGCATGGCTTCACCGCCCGGATGCACCTGGTCCATGCGGGGTGTTGTTGCGTCGGTCCTCTGCGGGCAACCATGGCAGATGCATCCAAGGATTACGCCCAGTTGCCACTGGGGCATCCTTTGTCAAGCTTTCCTTTTTTGAAGTGAGCCCCTGTACAAGCCAGTAACTGAAAGTTGGAACAGCCAGCTACATGGATCACAGGGGTGGGGTGTTGGTAAATTCTTGACATAGGGTCCTGGGGATGGGGCCTCTGGCAGTTTCTGGTATGGCCTTGTTAAACGACGTGATTGAAAGCTTTCTCCGATTTGCATCGCATGAACGGAGAAAATTCTGATAGAAACGCGGTGTCCCCTGGAAGGGAGAGGCCCAAAGGTACAAGGAGGTAGTATCCCATAGTGTCTTGACAATACCGTGCTAGGTAACACAAGTTGTTCCGCAGTTTTTTTTTTCAAGCCTGCTGCCCTGACCCCTAAACCTGAACCTAAATCCCAAGCCCGATATTCTACTTGAAGGAGCAGCACCACTCAGTGGTCACAATTGAGATTACTAAATGGCTTATAGGGAACTATAAGTTATACGTGCTCTGCCTGACTACTCCGTAACCCTAAACGCTGAACCCTCCGCACTGGATCAAGTACGGCCTGAACCCAGACCCTATTCAACAGCACAGCGCAAACTTTAACGTGATGGGGTCCCGCTTGTACAGTCTATGACCTGTCGTCGCAACTCCTTAAAGGTGGTTACATAAAGATTTTATAGGGGAGAATTGTAGTGTTTATAATAGGGGATACTAGAAGTTTAGACTAGAGCTCACATGGCTTCTCCAAACCATCCCCCGCATGCTACTCCCCCTCGTAAGGCTCTTCCTGAACTACCTTCATTTATTACCCCAAAGAAGCTTAACTAAGAGAACCTTGCAGAGGGCCAGAAATTCTGTGGTGGGTGGTTAGGTAACCCGTATAGTCCCTTAAGTAGGTAAAATATGGTTCCGGGTATATTGTAATAAGATCCCCCTTTACCCCATATTCTATCCCTAAACCCTAAACCCTAATTTTTAGTTTCCCATTTTCTTTTCCATTATCCCAATATAACCCCCCATATTCTATCTACTTGGGGGACTAACTCCCAAACCCTAAACCCTATATTCTATCTACTTAAGGGGGACTATACCTCCCAAACCGCGAGCATGTTTCTTCATGGGGAATCAAATGTTCCAGCTGTGGCACTCGCTGTGGGACTCACAGGATTTCTTTGCCCTCTTGGTTGGGGAAGCCTCAAACTGTTCAGGGCTTAGGGTTTAGGATTTAGGGTTTAGGATTTAGGGTAAGCCTGCTCAGCCCCTTAATTCTATGCCTTCCGCCCGCAGCTCTGAATCCTAAACCCTACCGCACATTCATGAAATCCAGACATCCGAAAATCACAGCCTGAGCCACTACACACATTATTCTTGCTGTTGCTGCTGTTGTTGTGTTGCCGACCCAAAGGCTATAGGGAATGTGGAGCCACTAAACTTCCATACCGTTTGCTTGCACTGAGTGGGCGAGTGAAGGCGGGTACCATTGCAGGTACATTAGGGCAACTTCAAAACCTCCACCTGCCCAGAAAGGCCAATATCTCTTAATAAAGGAATATACCTTGGATCATATGTGTGGTTGTTAAAATTAACGTCCCTTTATGTTTGGGTGCCCGAAATATTAGGTGCCGTATTACAATAGGGATCCAAAAAGGGATCATAATTTTGACAACCACCCACATTAGGGACCCTAGTGCCATTTAGGGCAAATTCCCTGAACCCTAAACCCTAAACCCTGAAGGGATATTGGGCTTTCTGGGTGAGGCACCGTGGAGCTGCTAAGGGGATAGAGAACTGCATGAGAGCCTGGGTTGGTCCTTGGGATATATTGGGATAATGGAAAAAGAAAATGGAAACTACTATTTAGGGTTGAGGTTTAGGGTTTAGGGATAGAATATGGGGGAAAGTTTGAATATTTTTCCTTACTGTTTTCGCGAGGACCCTATATCCTAATGCTATTTTTCTATAGGCTCCAAGTGCCAACCAAGGGACGGGCTTTTGCAAGTTTTTCAAATGGCAGGATCTGCGGTATAGGGCCTGCCAAAAGAGGGGTCTCCCTGTCTCTTTGGAGGGAGATGCGTAAAGCTGAAATCCCAAACCACGTATTCTCCAAATGTTTCCCTAGTTATATATCCCTACACAACCCACTTACGAGGACCCTCCCATACAGTGAGCATCCAATCAATTCCAAGGCGAGCGTGGCGAGCAGCCATGTCGGGGAAGGAGCTGATCAAGCAGGTTGGGTAGGATCCTAAATCAAATATCAAACAAGACCCGCCAATTGAACCTTATGCTGGAGTAGAACCCAGACAGTGCGGGACCTCTCCAAGCGCAGTCTAGGAGCTCCACAAATATCTCAAGATCAGTCCAAGAGCAATCCAAGAGCTTTGGGCCGTTCCAGGGGCACTCCAAGAAAAGCTTAACTTTAAGAGAAGTGTAAGAGCATTTCAGGACACCTGCAACGGCATTCTAAGAGCACCCCAAGAGCACTCTGAGACGACTCCACCTACACTGCAGGAGCACTCTGCAAGCACCGTAAGGTCATTTTACTCCGCGCAAGGGGAAAGCAGCGAGAACTGTTCTGCACTAGGACTAGCAGTAGCGTGCGCACGGGACTTGGCGGGTGCACGATGGCGACACCAAATTGCGAGGAAACCCAGGGCGAGACTGCCATTTCGAACCAAGTAGGGTAGTCAGCAGACGGCACTTTCATGCCCATGCGTTCCGTGCTGTTCTTGGGCGCCTGCACTTTGCTACCACCTTGTCCTGCTAAAGTGATGCCGAATCATTTTGCTAGGAGATTTCAAGGAATCCGGAAATCTTTTTGTTTCGAGAGTCTTCGGACGGACCAGATTCCTGCGTAGGAAACTTGCCCCCCAGACTCACGGAACTCCAAAAGAGGTGGTATGAAGACCTTTTTGTGAGGGGCTTTGAGGCTTTTAGGGGCGTCCACGTTTGTTTGGGTGGCACGCAATCCCAAAGCCTTGAGCCCTGCCACAAAGTCTGAAGCCCGCAGCCCAAAAGCCTTACACAAAAGTATATCCACGTAATGTCGCAAAAACCTTGAACGCGCTTATGACCTCGTCAAAGGGTATTATTTAAATGGTATCCCTGGTCCAACCAGCAGGTTCGGCGCTGGAACGGCGCGCACGTGACAAGGTATGTTCGCGCTGCCCGCGGCAGTGAGGAGGGAAAAGAGATTCCGGGTTCACGACTGGCGTGTTTTCAGTCTTTGGGTTTCATATAATATAAGCCGTATACTGTAGAGTTCTAAGCTCTAAATCTGAAGATCTGACCAGGCATTAGGAAGGATTGTGATGAAGGGTCCTTGGTACCCTTTGGTTTATACGTTTCCCTCATCAAGCCCAAAAGGATCCGATGTTCCTGAGCTAACGGAGAGCGAGCTCTGGGTCGAGGACTTTTGGTTTAGGGGTTTAGGGTTTAGGGCAGGCTAGGATTTTATGACGATAATAGGGATATAAACCCAAGAAATCAAAGAGCACTTACCCTCCTAGGGCTCCTTTTGGAGTGCTCTTTGATTCTGTTTACCCTA